ATACGAAAAAATTAGCCAGGGATGGTGGCAGGTGCCTGCAATCTCAGCTCCTCAGGAGGCTGAGGCAGGAGAATCGCTTGAACCTGGGAGGTGGAGGTTGCAGTAAGCCAAGGTTGTGCCATTGCACCCCAGCCTGGGCAACAGAGAAAGACCCTGTCTCTAAAAAACTAATTAAAAAATAAAACAAATACCAAGGTGCAGTGGTTCACGCCTGTAATCCCAGCACTTTGGGAGGCTGATGTGGGCAGATCACTTGAGGTCAGGAGTTCGAGACCAGCTTGGCCAACATGGTAAAACCCGTCTTTACTAAAAATACAAAAATTAGCTGGGTATGGTGGTAGGCGCCTCCCAACCACTTGGGAGGCTGAGGCAGGAACACCGCTTGAACCTGGGAGGTGGAGGTTGCAGTGAGCCGAGATCATACCACTGCACTCCAGCATAGGTGACAGAGCAAGACTCTATCTTAAAAAAAAAAAGGGGGGGGATCCTGGGAGATGCCAAGACAATTAGAGTGGACTCCACTGCATAAATGAGGAGCTTTGGTTCCAACATGCGTGACTTCCCCAAAGATGTACAACTGCCCAGCTTCCAGGGTTTGGTCCTGACAGATAAAGGCCTCAAACTCTCCCTGTCCCAAATCCCAGAGGCTCCATAGGCAGTGCCCCACTCAGTCCCTCTGCCTGCCCCAGATTCCACTCAAAGCTGCCAGGCTAAGCTGCTCGCTCTGCATAACACCACCTGACAGCTGGCCTTGCAGCCCACCCTGCCCGGAGCCACTGTGCTCAGTCAAGCCCTGCTGGTTCAGTGCCTGCCCAGCTCCTGGATTTCTGTATTAGCCGGCTCCTGGAGCAGGAGCAAGCACATCTGAAAAGTGCCCCGGTGATTGCCTGGGCAGCCTCGGTAGAGAAGCACCATTGTTTTCTAAGGTTCTCTAAGTCCACTGTGAAGAGGGTGACTGCTCCCTTGAACCCACAGAGCCCACCTAATGGTTCACCCAGGAATGTCACCACATTACCAGCCCAGAGAGCACCTGTTCCTCCACTTAGCACTCTTGCCCTGGGCAGAGGCCATCTGAGCCCTATGGGAATCAGGTTCCCGTGACCCAACGACAAACCCACAAACCCATCCTCTAGGGCCTCCAGTCTGAGTTATGTAGTTAACCAAGGGCCTCTCCCATCTGGGGTGCCATCGGGGTCAAGTAAGCAGCCTGTGTTGAGATGAAGGCATTCTAAATCTTTTACTTAGAAAAAAAGACAGGGCCTTGCTATGTTCCCCAGGCTGGTCTTGAACTCCTGGGTTCAAGCAATCCACCTGCCTCGGCCTCCCAAAGTGCTGGAATTACAGGCGTGAGCCACCGTGCCTGACCTCACATTAGTCTTAGAGACAGTACTTTCACAGGCCCCTTGTTATTTAATTTTTTGAGAACTGATACTTGGGTACTTCCCAGAGTTCCACTGCAACACGGATGTGAGGAAGGGTTTGCATTTTTTTGTTGTTGAGACCGAGTCTCGCTCTGTCACCAGATTAGAATGCAGTGGCATAATCTCACCTCACTGCAACCTCCACCTCCCAGATTCAAGCAATTCTCCTGCCTCAACCTCCTGAGTATCTGGGACTACAGGTACGTGCTACCACACCCAGCTAATTTTTGAATTTTTTATTTTCATTTTAATAGAGATGAGGTTTCATCATGTTGGTCAGGATGGTCTCAATCTCTTAACCTCATGATCCACCCACCTCACCTTCCCAAAGTGCTAGGACTACAGGCATGAGCCACCATACCCAGCCAAGTAACATTCTTTTCTCCAGCTGCGTGTTAGGAGTGAGGCGAGTTTGGGACTGAGTGGGAGGGACAGAGTATCCCTTCCAAGGGACTTGGAGGCTGCCCAATAGTGTCAGATCAGAGCTGATATGGTGAGGACAGGTGGGAATGTGTTGGAGGGGTGCACTGTAGGGGTGCTCCAAGGTGCAGCTGGGGTACACTTGGGTTGGTGGGGCACTGACCTTGGCTACACAGTGCCCTTGAGAAGGAACAAGCTGGTTAACCCTTTGGTGTCCACAGCCCCAGAGACCTTAGCATGAGGAAGTCCTGCCTCCCAAGAGGGTCACTAATGCCAACCACCCTTTCCCACCCTCCCAGGACCAGATGGGGAGGTGAGGGGTCTTACCTCCACTTCTGTTCCTCCTAGAGGGTATGTTAGCATGGCAAATCGATACCGAAGGTGGCGACAAATGGAAGGTGGAGAGCCTCCCTGGAGCCCACAGGACAGCTTTTCCTGACCCCAAAGTCAAGAATTATTTTGTCACATCTTACGGGTAAGGCAAACTGAACCTACCAGGCTTGCGTGGAGGGGACAGACAGTCAGGACACCTTTGCCAAGTCTCGGGCAAAGTCTTTCTAAGGGAAGGCCTCTCTGTGAAGCCCAAGGGAGGTGGCCCAGAGTCACTGCTTCCTGGAGTAATTCAGTGACTTTGTTCATGGGCAGTGGGGGTGGGGATCACTGAAGCAAGCCAGGAGTCCATGGGGCGGTTAAGATAAGCCAGAGCCTACAGCTGTCCGTCCCTAAGCTAGGAACTTGAGTTTACAATGCCCTGGAACACTGGGCCTTTGGACTGGGATCAGATGCCACCCAGGCACAAGTGGGTCAAACTCCCTCCTTAGGTTTCTCATGGGCCTCCAATGGAGTAGGAGCCAGAGTCAGCCCCAGCCAGTGCCTGTCCAGCAGTGGCCAAGGGATACCCGAAGTCCCCAGACCACCTCCCTGCATTCACGGGGCTGCTGAGGCTTGGGTGAGGGAGGGCCATGAAGAGCACACCCAGGCATGCAAGCCCCCCACTCTGCTCCCCAGGATGTGCCTCAAGTCCCAGCTGGTGGACCTCGTAGCCAAGGGCTACTGGGAGGAGCTACTGGACACGTTCAGGCCAGACATCGTGGTTAAGGACTGGTGAGTAGGGCCCAGGGCCTGCATTCCCACACTCTACAGCCTCCTCTTACTGCCAGGCTGGGTGAGACAACCTGTAGCAAGTACCCACTGTGCCCAGCAGTGTCCTAGAGCCAGGTAGCCCCGGCCTGTCCCCACTCTGCACCCAGACCCAACATGTATTCACCCAGCAGCACCTCCTGGCCTCCCCACCACCCTGTGACATGCTCAGGACACAGTAGCCCCAGTGTGCAGATGCGGAGACTGAGGCCCCCGGGTACGTTGTCACTGAGAGGCACTTTTTTTTTTTTTTTGAGATGGAGTTACTCTGTTGCCCAGGCTGGAGTGCAGTGGTATGATCTCAGCTCATTGCAACCTCCACTTCCCAGATTCAAGCAATTCTCCTGCCTCAGCCTTCCGAGTATCTGGGTATACAGGCACCCGCCACCATGCCCCGCTATTTTAAAAAATATTTTTAGTAGACACCCCAAAACCTAAAATGCAATAAAAATAAAAATTAAAATTAAAAAAATATTTTTAGTAGAGACAGGATTTCACCATGTTGGCCAGGCTGGTTACAAACTCCTGACCTCAAGTGATCTGCCTACCTTGGCCATCCCTCTCTGGACCAGGTGGAAACCCCCAGACCCCTGGCCTACCTGCCTCCCCTGCCCCATTCCCTATTCATCCCTTTTTGAGCTCCTACTCTGTGCACAGAACTGTGCAAGGCTCTGGCTTGGCTGGTGGCAGAAGCAGGGCCCCAGTTCTAGCAGGCCCCAGGGCCACCACACTGAGAATAAAGGGGCAAGGCTTGAGGGGTATGCAGAGCTGCAGGGGAGGGGTGGCTGGGCTGAGCAGAGGGTGAGCTCTGTGCCAGTTCCATCACACAGGCCATTCCCTTGACTCTCCCACTGAATCCACGGCCTGGTCCACTGTAAGTGCAGGTGACATAACTTGGCCAGACCTGGCCTCTGGAGGCTCTTTTGCTTTTTGAGGTTACATCTTTACTAGGATGCCCAAAAGAGTCCCTTATTTCAGATGGAGTAACTGAGGCCAGCATGGACAGGTTGCTCCCCTCGGGCCACAGCGGGGCATAGGGAGCGGGGAAGCCAGTTGTGCTTTGCAGGCAGAGCAGTGTTGGCTGATGGGAAATGAAGCAGCTCCAATGTGTAGGTCCTGCCTGCCCCCACCCCCGGAGCCAGCACTCGATGGCTTGGATGCAAGGCTCTCACTCCCCCACCAGGTTTGCTGCCAGACACGACTGTGGCTGCACCTACCAACTCAAGGTGTACCTGGCCTCGGCTGACTACTTCGTGTTGGATTCCTTCGAGCCCCCACCCGTGACCATCAATCAGTGGAGCGATGCCACATGGACAGAGGTGAGGCCTCACCCCCTTGCTCTCCACCCACTCCTCCCAGGGCCAGGTTGCCAGGAAGCAAGGGGCAGCCTCAGGGCCCAGGGAGCCCCTGCTCTCTGGCCTGGAGCTGTTGCCTTCCAGCCTGGGCAGCTCCCTTAGAGGACCTGGCTCCTGCCTTCCCTTCCCCCACCCCAGTGGTCACTTCCTCTCCCCTCCTCCCTGCAGGTCTCCCACACCTTCTCGGACTACCCTCCAGGTGTCCGCTACATCCTCTTCCGGCACGGGGGCCAGGACACCCAGTTCTGGGCAGGCTGGTACGGGCCTGGAGTCACCAACAGCAGCATCGTCGTCAGCCACAAGATGAGCAGGAACCTGGCCTCCTCTGAGGCTCAGCCTGGGCAGACCCAGTTGCCCTACAAAGTTGTTCTCCCAATCTGACAGCTGTCCATCCTGTGTCCAGGTCAGCCAGAGGTTGGGGTGGGCAGTGAAGTCCCTGTACCAGGGCTTCTGCCCCGGTCCGACCCTACCAGCTTGTGGAAACTTAATATGCTGTCTCATAGCTCTGACATTTTGTTGTAATGAATGTTTTCAGTAAAACCAGCCTGGGGTTGGTTTTTGGAGTGGGGAGGGGGGTCCTTGGCATTTTGGTGGAGAAGCAGCTCCTCCCCCAGGTTACCCTGGCCATACCTGTCCCTCCCACTTTGGTTAGTGACAGCTCAGCTCAGGCCAGCCCTTGGGGCCCCTTTATTAAAACAACTCACAGCACAGTATTTGAGACAGACAGTGTTGGCCGGCAGAACCCCAGGAGGCTGAGAAGTCGAGGTCACGGCATCCTCACTGCCCTCCTGGGGGAGGCATCCTCCAAGTAGACCTGAGCTGCCCCAGGCTGGGGCGGACGATCCACACACAGGTGATAAGAGCACTTGGAATCAGGGCAGCCGTGCAGCACTGCCCTAGGTGGGGATCCCCCAAAGTCTGACAGTTCGGGCATCAGTGGGGTGGCAGGTGCCCCCTCAGCTGCCTTTATGGGCGCGCTCTTCCACGTAAAGCTGCATCTGATGGACACAAGCAAACAGCCACGGTCAGTGAGACAGCCAGGGCATCTCTGCTGGAGGACCCAGAAGCCTCTGGTCAGCAGATCTCTGCCAAGGGTGGGGCCTCGTGGCCATGGCGGAGGGAAAGGAGAAGAGTAAAGATGGGAGGAGCTTTTCTGCCAGGCATTCCCTCCTCCTCCCCTCCAAGCCCTCTAACAAGGCCTCAGCACCGGGCCTCACATCCTAAGCATCCCCTAAATAAAGCTCCCAGGTCCCCACAAAGCTCACCTTTAAAATGTCCGACTCACTTCCTCAGCATTCCCTAAATAAAGCTTCCCGGGTCCCCATAGGGCCCACCTTTAAAATGTCCAACTCACTTCCTAAGTATCCCCTAAATAAAGCTTCCCAGGTCCCCACGAAGCTCACCTTTAAAATGTCCGACGTCATGGTTTTCAGTGGTATCAGCCGGGGGTCATGCATGTGGACATCCTGCTCATCTGCCAGGATCCAGGGGAAATCCTAGGGAAGGGACAAAGGTCAAGGGGGTGACAGGGGGCAGGGCCCTGGCCTGCTCTCTCTTTGTTGCCCCTCCCACTCCAGACCAGGGGCCTCCAACCTGAGCCTCGGAATCACCAGGGAGCTGTTGGTAATGCAGACCCCAGGACCCCCCACCCCCCACAGAGGCCGAGTCCATAGAAACCAGATGATGAACAAGCACCAAGCCCCTAGGACCCCTCCCAGAGAGCTCCCACTTCAGAAGAGCCAGGATGAGCCGGGACCCCAGCAGGTGGCTACGCCTGGGCTCCTCACTACCCCAAATGCCTAGATGGAGCAGTGGCCAGGCCTGAGGACCTGCTGGGTGCACACGCTGCTGCCCCAACGTAATGAGAAGCTGGTCACAGGCAACACCTCTGCCCGCCTGGAACTTCGGCATCAAGTTTCCAGAGCCTGCGCCCAGGTCGACCCACCTCCCCTCACCTTGATGACCTGGATTTTCTCCATGTTGCGAGTGGCAGCTTCTCTCGTGTGCACCAGGACTGTGAAGGTACAGCCTGGAGAGGCAAGAGGTTGGTGGAGGCTCCCTGCTGCCCTGGTGCCTGCCACTGGGCCCAGCCTCTTCCCACTTGGCAGCCCCCCAGAGCAGAGTGCAAAACAAGTGCCAAGAAAAGGCCCAGTCAATAGGGAGATGAAAGCCAGGTGGAGTCAATCAGGGAAGCTTCCTGAAAGAGGTGGACTCTCAGGGGTTAGGAAGAGATGAGGCTCAGAGCAGCAAACAGACCTGGGAACACAGACCAACCCAAGATAACCATGGAAATGCCAAGGGAAGAGAGGGTGGGGAGGACACACCTGGGGGATTGTGGTCCAGGACGGCATCGCACACGCTGATCTTCAGGATGAAGGCTCGGAGCAGCTGCTCCACGTGAGACAAAAGGGAGTCTGAGCTGGGAATGAGAGGAGGTCTTCCCGTCACACTGGCACCCTCTCCTCCACCTCGGGCAATTGACCTTGGATGCAGACCTGGGGTATGGAGCCACTCCACTGCCTCTTGAGACTGTTGGTTGCCTGGGGCCCAGCTCCCTATCTGATCCACATAATTCAAACCAGCAAGGGAGTGTAAAAGCAATGCCCAATCCCACTGGGGCAGGGGGTAAGGGGGAGGTCCGAGGAGGCCTCCCTAGATGGTTTTCATGTGCAGCCAGGCCGGAGAACCAGGACACCAAGCCAGGAGGGGAAAGGGCTTCCCTGAGGCCACGCAGCCCGTGGGAACAGGTTGGTGCCAGATTCCAACACCCTGACGTCACCATCAAAAGCATGCAGTTGACCAACTAACGTGTGCCAGAGGTCAACTTCCAGTTGACTGGGGACTTGCCTGGGAAGGCAGGAAACTGGTTCTGTGTCCTGAGCTCTACCCCCACCCAGGTAACCCTGGGTAGCTCATGTCATCTCTCTGGACCCATCTCAGCTGCTCACAGGCTGTCCCCTTGTCAGGCTGGCCAGTCTTGCCCTTTCTCCTCCCAGCCCTTTACCAAGGTATTCAAGGGCCGCCTTAAAGGGGTGGGTGTGTTGCCAGAGGCAGACCTGACGCCTGCTGGCGAGGGGCAGGGACAGCCCACCTGATGGATAGCAGTGGAGGCTGGGTGATCTCAAAGACGAATTTCTCCACTGGGCGGTGCTCTTTATCCAAAATCACCACCACCACTTTCTCCACATCATTCTGCAAGGAGAGGAGTCCCCCACTACAGAGCCAGGCACCCCACCCCCACTCCACCACCCCACCTCCACCCCCCTGCCCAAGGAATGATGGGAAACCCTGTCACAGCCCAGCTCGGCTGCTAGGCCGGGGGTCCCCAAGAGCCCAGACAGCGGGTTTGAGAAGTTGGCACCCTCTGACGTGAGTGGTGCAGGCTGAGAGGATGCCTGGGGCCCACAGGGAAGGTCCCAGGAAGTCTGAGATCAGGACTAGATGGGGAAGAAACCCTGAGGGGCTCAGCCCAGACAGAACATTTAGGGTAGAAAACAAGGGATGGGTATGAGAACCCAGAACCCTCTTGGGATAGCCCCTACTCAGAGCCAGCTCCACCAACCCAGGCTCCCAGGCCCAAGATACTCTGAACGTGGTCCACATGCCTTGGGGCCTGTCCCTGGGTTGGGATGGTCTCCAGAGTGCAGGGTGCAGGCTTCTGGGTATTAGAGCCACGAGGGCCCCACAGAATCCTAGCATCGCCCCATCCCACCTGTGAGCATAGAGGGACAGGGGTGAGCATGGGGTGAGGTGGCTGGGAGGCCCAGTGCCCCCTCACCTTCTCCAGGAGTGGCTTGACACAGTGCAGCGTATCCTGGATATACTGATTCAGCTCCGGGTGGCAGGACATCTGCACACAACATACTGCTAGTGAGGCTCAAAGCACAGATGGGAAAACCACCCAACACAACCAGGAGCTCAAGTCCACCTTCTGTCAAAGGCCCAGCAGCTTTCTAGGGCCCCTACCCAGGAAACCCCACTATCCCTTATGAGACTTAGAACTGTGAATGTATCCATGGAGAAAGAAGTTAGACGATAAGACTCAGGCTGGGCACAGCGGCTCACTCCTATAATCCTAGCAGTTTGAGAGGCTGAGGCGGGTGGATCACTTGAGGTCAGGAGTTTCAGACCAGCCTGGCCAAAATGGCAAAACCCAGTCTCTACTAAAAATACAAAAATAGGCCAGGTGCAGTGGCACCTGTGATCCCACCTAGTCAAGGGGCTGAGACAGGAGAATCGCTTGAACCCAGGAGGTGGAGATTGCAGTGAGCCAAGAACGAGCCACTGCACTCCAGCCTGGGTGACAGAGCGTGATTCCATCAAAAAAAAAAAAGATAAGAATTCAAACCAAACATGAGCATTTAATATAGCATTAGGGGTTCTTATGTGGGGCTCATGGATTCCTCCAGAGTCTGAAAAAACCCTAAAGTTATATCTTTGTGCACTTGGGCGTTTTTCCAGAAAAAGGATCCAAGAAAATGTAATCAGCTTTCAAAAGTTAAGAACTAAGGAGTTGTGTGGGCTCAGGCAAATTTCTTAACTTTTCTGAGCTTCAATCACTTCATCTATGAAGATCTCAAAAAGAAAAAGTGAGGATTTAAATGAGATAAGTGCCTAGTAGACAGTGAGTGCTCAGTGTCAATTCTTTTTCCTTTTCCCTGTAAAGGTGACTCTCAACTTACTATGGGATTATGTTTGGATAAACCCATCAAATATCACCAGAGGAAAATGTATTTAATACACGTAACCCACCGAACACCACAGCTTAGCCAAGCCTACCTAAACACACTCAAAATTTGGGCAGGATTATCTAACACGAAACCTACTTCATAATAAAGTGCTCACACCTGTAATCCCAGCACTTTGGGAGGTCAAGGTTGAAGATCACCTGAGGTCAAGAGTTCAAGACCAGCCTGGCTAACATGGAGAAACCCCGTTTCTACTAAAAATACAAAAATTAGCCGGGTGTGGTGGCACACGCCTGTAATCCCAGCTACTCGGGACACTGAGGCAGGAGAATCACTTGGCCCTGGGAGGCGGAGGTTGCAGTGAGCCAAGATCACACCACTGCACTCCAGCCAGGGCGACAGAGCAAGACTCTGTCTCATAAAATAAAAAATAAAGTGCTGAATATCTCAGGTAACATCTTGAAACTATACTGGAAGTGAAAAAACAATGGTGGTATGGGGACTTGAAGCCGGGACCACCTGGATGTCCTCTAAGCTTCTACCAATTATTCTCATGTTTCCTGAGTGCCTTTGAGAGACAGGTACTTCTAGGGACTGGAGTTACAGTGCCATGCACACTGCTCTGTGTGCCTTTTAGCAGACGGAGTTCAGGGTAAATGGTAAGGAGAAGGTGTTGGAGGTTTTTGGAAATCCCCTCCTCACACCAAGGTTCACCAGCTTCAGGAGCTCTTTCAAAGTGCAACCATGCCGCCAGGGTATTTCTTATTAGGCCTTGTTCCTTAACTTCTAGCAAGGGAAATTCCCTTCTGCGGGGTGGGTAGGCAACCCTACTTTGGAACTGGAAGGCAAGGGTAGAGCCCTGGGGAATGAGGTGGCCAGAAGTGGAAGAGGTTTTTTTTTTTTTTTTTTTTTGAGACTGAGTTTTTCACCCAGGCTGGAGTGCAACGGCACACTCTCAGCTCACCACAACCTCTGCCTCCCCGATTCAAGCCATTCTCCTGCCCCAGCCTCCCGAGTAGCTGGGATTACAAGCATTAGCCACCACGGCCGGCTAATTTTTGTATTTTTAGAAGAGGCGGGGTTTCACCATATTTGTCAGGCTGGTTTTGAACTCCCGACCTCAGGTGATCACCTGCCTCAGCCTCCCAAAGTGCTGGGATTACAGGAGTGAGCCACCGCACCTGACCGAAGAGTTTTTAAAAGTCCACCCTGTACCCACTCTGTGGTTCTGGGACGAGCCTCACCTGGACCGGTACGTTGTACTTCTTGCGTTTCTGGAAAATGCCCACCGGGTAGACCTCGCGCACGTAGAGGATGAGATGCACAGCCACCTCCAGAAATTCGCAGAGCACATCGGCCACCACTGCAGGGGGCACAAGCCGGTGGTGCGCTCGGCGAAGCCCGCAGGCCCAGACGCCACCCGCCCCCCGGGGCCCGCAGGTCCAGCCTCCCTACCTTGGCCAAAGTTGAGGTCCTGCCGTGTAAGCGTGGTCATCCTTCCCGCTACCTGGGTGGTGGGGCAAGGACAGGGGGTAGTTCCAGAGACTCAGGAGCCCAGAACCCGCCCGCCTCCACCGCCTTTTCCCGCCCCACCGTCTGTGGGAACTGGGGCAGGACCTCCCGCTTCGCACAGGCTTAGGACAGCTGGGAAGGACTCCCACCCTCACGTTGGCGTCCGTGTTTGAGGGCATCAGCCTCAATCCACTAACCGCCCGCGCTCCCTCACCCCTCCGCTCGAGGGGTAGGAAAGACCACAGGGGTGTCCGAGGAAAGGACAGGGCCGCGGACGCAGAAACAGCTGGATGCGCAGTGCCGGGAGCGCAAAGCCGGACACGCGGAAAGCAAAGCTGGGCTGGAATAAGACTCCGCCCCCTGCCCGGCAGAATCCCTCCCGGCGCGAATCCCGCCCCCTCTCCCTTTACCCTGGTACCAGCTCTGGGATCGGTTCCCGCCCGGGATCGAGCCCGGCCCCGCCGCGGGGAGCCACCGACCGGACGGATCGCGCCTCCCGCTCAACCCGGGGCCTCGGCGCCGCTCGGTGACGTTCGCGGAGTTCCGGCGGGTCCTAGAGCCCGACGCTCAGGCCAAGCCCACTTTCCTGCCACGCCCTGGCCACGCCCATTCCCGCGCGGACCAAACCCGGGCTGGCACCCGGGGGGCGGGCCCCGGCGTCGGGGAGGGGCTGAGACCCGCGGCTCCACCTCCCTTCGACTTCGGGTGGGAGCGAAGAAAACACAGGGTTGAACTCCTCGTGGCATCGGATCGCTACGTATCTTCCCCTAGAGAGCACTTCTCTGGCTCTAGCAGGCGCCGGAAAGGGCGGATAGGGGTGGCTGGGGAGGGCCGGGGGAAGGGCGCAGCTGGGGACTAAGGGCAGCCACAAGTGAGCTAACCCGAGGTCACCATTTCTGCAGCTGCCCACCAAAAGCGAATCCTCTGGCTCGGGGGAGGGAACAGGGGAAGACAGGGGTGCACCGGTTGTCAAGACCCGGGTGAAATTTAAAAAATTTTTTAAAAGGCGTGTACTGGGGCCGCCCCCGCCCCGCCCCCACCGGGAACCCAAATGCCGCCTGACATGACCGCCCAAGAGGATGAACCCTTCCTGTCATGCGTTTCATAACAATAGCTGACCTTTATGGGGCTCCAGCCGAGTGCTGGGCACTGGACTAAGTGTGTCCGTGGATTATCTCACTAAGTCCTCGGAGTAACTCCATGCGGCAGTTACTGTGACTATTCCCTTTATACAGATGAGTCAAGCGAGGTTCAGAAGGGTGAATAACCCTGCCCGAGTCTTCCAGCTGATGGGGTGGGCGCTGGCCGAGGTCCCTACTCCCACTACATTTTACTGTTCCGAAGTCCCCCAGGGGCATGGACTCTGCCTGGAAGTCCTGAAAGAGCCCTCAGAGATGATGATATTATTAAAATAATAAAAAATATTGGCCGGGCGCGGTGGCTCAAGCCTGTAATCCCAGCACTTTGGGAGGCTGAGGCGGGTGGATCACGAGGTCAAGAGATCGAGACCATCCTGGTCAACATGGTGAAACCCCGTCTCTACTAAAAAATATTTTTAAAAAAATTAGCTGGGCATGGTGGCGCGTGCCTGTAATCCCAGCTACTCAGGAGGCTGAGGCAGGAGAATTGCCTGAACCCAGGATGCGGAGGTTGCGGTAAGCCGAGATCGCGCCATTGCACTCCAGCCTGGGTAACAAGAGCAAAACTCCGTCTCAAAAAATAAAATAAAATAAAATAAAAAATATTTACTAACATCGAGCACTTCTTTTTTTTTTTGAGACGGAGTTTCGCTCTTGTTACCCAGGCTGGAGTGCAATGGCGCGATCTCGGCTCACCGCAATCTCCACCTCCTGGGTTCAGGCAATTCTCCTGCCTCAGCCTCCTGAGTAGCTGTGATTACAGGCATGTGCCACCATGCCCAGATAATTTTTTTGTATTTTTAGTAGAGACAGGGTTTCACCATGTTGATCACGATGGTCTCTATCTCTTGACCTCGTGATCCACCCGCCTCGGCCTCCCAAAGCGCTGGGATTACAGGCATCGAGCACTTCTAATGTGTCAAACACTGATTTCTTTAATTCTCTAATTAACCCTAGCAGCTAAGTCTCCATTTTATAGCCCCACCTTACAGATGGTTAAACAGGCACAGAGTCGTTCTCTAATTAGCCAAAATCATACAGTGGGAATTCAAACCCAGTTCTGATGCCTCTGCTGACACCAGGGCTTCCACTATCTTCAGCCCCCTTATTTTACAAGTGAGAAAACTCAGATCTGAGAAGCAGCCATGGAGTGAGTGGGCAACAAGTCAGGACCAGAAGCCAAGAGGACTATGCCTGTGACCTCCGGGGACGTTAAGAGCTTGTTAGTAGTCCCGTTGTCTGTTTGGACACAGATCTAGCCAGACTTGTTTATGGTTTACAGCTCATTATAGGAGACCTGGATCCCTCCCCCACAACCAGATGCCTTCAAACCTGCATTTCCAGACTTCTTTAGCGGAGGGTAAAAGTAACCTGTAAGTAACCCATTAAGCTAGGAATGTCAGCAAAACATTTCTTCAAATGCAGTCCTAGGAAATCTGCATCAGAATCCCCCAGGAGCCCATTAATCACAGCTGCCCCACTGCCCAGAGCAACCTGATGGAGGTGGGTGCACAGCAGGGCGCTGGCCCTTTAACAAGCTCCCCAGGGGCCCGGATGCCCAGCAAAGTGTGGGAATCACCACAGAGGTTTGGACTATTCCCAGAGAATATCTGCATTTTGTAAAACTGCGATGCTCAACCCACAGGGATGGATGATTTTGTTCTAGGAAACTGATGCACTTGGCAGCACATGCTGGGCACAGCAACCCTTCTCAGGACCTGGGGACACTGCCCACATCATGCCATTTCCATAAAGAGCTGGCTGAGTGCTCACTGGCTTATAGACAGTGTCCCATGGCTCCTTGAGATTGAGTCATTGCAGAACTGGGGAAACCAAGGATCTTTCCTTTCCCTCTCCAGAGGCTGTTTAAGCAGCTTTTGCATTGGTGACAGCAGTGGGGGTCATAGGGGGCAATTGCAAAGTAGTCCTTTGGACTGGGGCCCAGGGTGGGGAAACTGACAACTGAATGACTCCCGTGGGATGGCCTTCAGGACACAGTGTGAGGGGCTGGGGACTCAAGTCAGGCATTCCCTACATGGGCTCCCAGCCCCAGCCCTCTGCCCTGAGAAGACACAGTACAAGCCACCCACAGAACTCCTGACACACAGAGGTAAGAACGTCAGAAAAACCTTGGAGGACTTAAACCCAACCCTCATTTTTCCTTGAGGAAACTGAGGTTCCAACAGCTCTTAACACTGGGGTGGGTACCCACCCTGTCAACTAGAAACCGGTGGATTAAAATACCTGGGTTTGCAAATATTGTATGTTCTCATTTATTTTTTATTTTTTTGAGACAGAGTTTCGCTCTTGTTACCCAGGCTGGAGAACAATGGCGTGATCTCGGCTCACCGCAACCTCCGCCTCCTGGGTTCAGGCAATTCTCCTGCCTCAGCCTCCTGAGTAGCTGGGATTACAGGCACACGCCACCATGCCCAGCTAATTTTTTGTATTTTTAGTAGCGACGGAGTTTCACCATGTTGACCAGGATGGTCTCGATCATGGTTGACCAGGTGGCTTGAGCCACCGCGCCCAGCATGTTCTCACTTATAAGTGGTGGGAGCTAAGATATGAAGATACAAAGGTATAGGAATGTCATAATGGACTCTGGGGACTCTAGGGGAAGGGTGGGAAGGTGAGAGATAAAATATTACATATTGGGCTGGGCCTGGTGGCTCACGCCTGTAATCCCAGCACTTTGAGAGGCCGAGGTGGGCAGATCACAAGGTCAAGAGATCAAGACCATCCTGGCCAACATGGTGAAACCCCATCTCTACTAAAACTACAAAAATGAGGCCAGGCACGGTGGCTCAAGCCTGTAATCCCAGCACTTTGGGAGGCCAAGGCAGGTGGATCACGAGGTCAAGAGATCGAGACCATCCTGGTCAACATGGTGAAACCCCGTCTCTACTAAAAAAATTACAAACAATTAGCTGGCATGATGGCGCGTGCCTGTAATCCCAGCTACTCAGGATGCTGAAGCAGGAGAATTGCCTGAACCCAGGAGGCGAAGGTTGCAGTGAGCTGAGATCATGCCATTGCACTCCAGCCTGGGCAATAAGAGTGAAACTCTGTCTCAAAAAAAAAAAAAAATTAGCTGGGCATCTTGGAGCACGCCTGTGATCCCAGCTACTTGGGAGGCTTAGGCAGGAGAATCTCTTGAACCCAGTAGACGGAGGCTGCAGTGAGCCGAGATTGTGCCACTACACTCCAGCCTGGTGACAGAGCGAGACTCTGTCTCACAAAAAAAATGAAAAGACTACATATTGGGTACAGTGTACACTGCTCAGGTGATGGGTGCACCAAAATCTCAGCAATCACCACTAAAGAACTTATCCACGTAACCAAAAATCATTGCAATTAAAAAAAAAATGTCTGTGTTTGGGCCTTGGGTTCACATCCAATCACAAACAGAAGGAAGGTGGGCTAAGAAGCAGATGGGGAGGGATTCAAACAGTTCTGACCCCAAACCCCCAAAAGGCTTTGGTCTCATTAGTGAAATGAACAGGCCAGACAGATGTTCACTAAACCTCTGATGGCCTCAGGTTCCATGAGGGTGGGGCAGGGGCAGAGGGTCGAGTCAGCATGGGACCATCGGGGGAGCTCTGCCTGGACTCCACCCACGGGCTCTTCAGCATCTGGTTTTCATATCTTAATCGCATCAGCATGATGGATGGTCACAGGATCCAGATTACATTATGGGGTTAAATTATTACAATTTTGAACACCCATCTGCTGGGAGACTGTTGTTCAAAGTTATTTGCATATTTTTCACCATAATGACAATATGTAGGAGGGTGGCTGGGAAGGAAGGATGGGTGTTTAGGAGGAGTGAGAGCTTATTTGCCAACTAGAGCAGGTCCCTGAGGATCTGCGATGGCACGGAGGGAAAATCACTCCCAAAAGACCCTGAAGTGGAAACTGAGAAGATGAGCCTTGAGTGCCAGCCCAGCAAAGACAAGCCCTGCATGGCAGGAGAGGACTGCTGGGGTCTGCTGAGGTTTATGGAACACACACACTGTGAGCGAACCAGGTGATGAGGTTTCCAGACCCCTCCCATCCCCATCAGGCTTATGGCAGAATGAATCATCTCTCCCACCCTGCATAAGTTTCCCAGGACACCAATCCCATGGAGTACGGGGGACATACAGAGTGAGTCACACATAGCCTGGTGACAATCCCCCAACACCCTGATGGTCAGGCCC